GGAGTTTAGACCCAGACACGGCTAGTGACGTCAGACTGAACGACCGGATAAAACAGAAAAACACTCTTCACTGTGATGTGTCAATAAATGAGAACTTGTTATTAAATGTGTCTCATTTTCAGTAAACGAGACAATGACGTGAGTCAGTTTTTTATTGCTGTCGGTGAACGCAGCCATCGGTGCAGGATACCTGTCAGTGTCACGTTTAGCCATTAGCTCTCAGAGGTGCGAACAGCGCAGCATCATCTGCAAACATGACGACTGTCTGACAGGATGCAGAGCTGCAGCTTCCTTCTGCTTTCTGCATGCAGCGATTCACATTTTTACTTCTGCGATCATCATTTAGTTTTGGACCTCTGAGTCAAGTCCAATAATCCAGACCTGGATGACGGAGAACCTGCACAGACATTTCCCCTCCCAGATGTTTTTGCTTCATCCTCTGAAGGCGTAGTTTCAGACCAGTGACCTGATTTCTGCCTACTGTTCCTCCGTCGAGCATCCTGTGGCGTTCCCGTCGGTAAACCATTACTCTGTGCAGGTTATTTCCCCTCACGGTCTCCAAAGGGGCCCAGCCCACAGGCTGAACCTCGTCTGGCTCTTTGTTCTGAGTGAAGAGCTTTGGAGGGTCATCGATGATGGGACGATCCCCCTCTGAGCGCCGACTGTGAGAACATTTTAATGCGATGATCTTCAGTCACGTTCACATCTTTAAAAAGCTCGCCGTCAATCTGTCTGCCTGTTTGTAGCTGCTGATGATGGTGGTGATGGAACTAGCTCTCATCTTTACACGCTCTCGCTCTGAATACCTGATGTGAGAAATTTTTTTGGGGGGTACAATCTCCTGTCTGTGAGGGTCTCTGGTGTCTGCAGCGTGGGATTATGGGAGGACGATGGGCTGTCAATCATTTAGCGGGCGTAGGTGTGATTTCCCTCTCATGCTGCAGGTTGGTTTTGGATGGAATCTCATTACTGGCCGTGTTTCAGGGTGACTGACAGCAGAATAATGTTTGGGCCCCCAGAGGGCTGCGGCCGGCTAAATGTTAAATGTATGAATGCATGGGAGTCAATGGAGAGATGAAGTGTAGCTGAATATTTTATTCTTCCTGGGAAACAGTCACGGAGTGGAGAGTGTGACCCTGAACACACCATCTGCTGCTGTTTCACTGCCGAACACGCCGTTCACAGAAAGCGCAAATATGGCTGACTGGCAGAGTCACCTGGGGGGAGGGGGGG